GTGATGTGTCAATTTGCAGCCTTTAGCATGAAAAATAAACGAGGGGAGAGGGAAATTTATTTTTTTAGGCTTTTAAAATGTTTGAGCCTTTTCAGGTATTTAGGCAGCATGAACAACAACAGCGTAGCTCATTCTATTCTAATTATATTTTTTAAGAAGAAATGTGCTGATATATGCTAGGCATGTCGCATACAAAGGCAGTTGTTGTCGTGCCAAGCTGCAGCATAATTGTTCATCCTGAAACTTTAATGAAGACAAAAAGTTTGCTTTTGGGAATGTGATCCTGTAATTCTAGGAATGATGGTGAGCAGTGCCTCTGGCTCGATGGAGTTCATCCTAAACCCCAAACTGATGTACAGGTCAGGTGGTGCAGGAAGAGGCTTTCATGGATCATGGAGGATGCTCCTCTCTTGGGGCTGCCAGAGTCGATTTTGGGTAATGCTGGGCACTACCAGGCAGTGCTGGGATGATCTCCCACAGCCAGGTGCAGCAGTTTGGGATGAGGTTCCTCAACCCCCTCCGGCTCAGTTGAATCCCCCAGCCAGTTTTTTGGGGTCTGAAGCCCACGAGGAGCTTTCCCAAGGCTGGTCCCACTCTGGGTCAGTGCCACTCTGGGGGTGGGGTGCAGGAATGTTCAGCCAAAACTTCCCAACTTCATTCCATGTCCCAGCCATGAAGCAGTGATTGTGTGAGTGTGGCCTTGGTGATTTAGCAGATTTGGCAGGCAGATTCCTGGCAGTGCAAGGCATTGGGGGTTAATCTTCCTATCCAGAGGAGCAGGAGGGGGTTTGGAGGAATCAGCCCAGTCAGATTTGGAACTATTTGACAATTTGTAATGGTGATGTAGCCGGGAGACATGAAAGGGGGGGTGGGGTCAGAATTGGCTGCTCATTTTGTGTGAAAAATTCCAGGAATTAAATGGAAAGAAGGTTGAAAATCTGCAGTATAATAACTGAGCAGTGCAGGGAGGTGTTAAAAGTACAGGTGTTCTGTGTAATTTAGTGGAGTTTTCCCCATTTTACATACAGGAGCCAGTCCTGAAGCGAGGTGAGCTACACTGAGACAGGAATGCTGTGATAAGTTCTCACAGAAAAGGATTTTCCTTATTTCTTTGGAAAGTTTTCCATAACTTTAGGTAATCACAAAGTGCATTTAGCCTGCTTGGAACCATTGGTGGGTATTCCCTTAATAGTGCCTGGAAGAGACTTCTCATTTTCAGAGGATTCCCAGTGTCCTGTTTGATGTGCCAAGTGAGGTGTGAGTGGAATCCTGATTGCAGATGCACAGGAATATCTCCAGATGTAGAAAACTGGAGAATTCCTAACAAACTGCTTTGGTTGCACAAGTATCTGAGGCATGCAGGAGTTGAGGGTGAGGTGTGAGGAGGTGCCCTCAGCAGCAGTGTGTGGGATCTATCAACCAAAGGGAATGATTCTCCTGTCCTGTGTTCTTACAGCCATTGCATTCCGACCCTGAGATGTTGCCACATTTAATCAATGAAGTTGTACACGGCTATTTATTGGCCTGTGAAGCACATGCAGTTCATAGACATAAATAATAGAATTTATGGGCTGAGACATTTTGCACTTCTCGTTGCTCAGAAGGAGAGAGAACATTTTCTGCTTCTTGTAATTTGCACTTTGTGTGTTCGAATATATTACAGCCAAAAAAAATAATTATATTGCAACTAATTGATAAACCAGTGACCATGCTCCACGTGCAGGGCCAAGGCAGAGAATTCAGTTTGCATCACGCTTGTCTGGGTGGGGGTGTTCTGGTTTGTTTAAAACTTTTATTTCTGCGCAAGGGAAAAAGCAATTAAACCTCCTGATTGTATGTTTTACGTAGATCAGTAAAATGAGACGTTTTATGACTTCAAAGGTTCTAAATAAAGCTCAGTTGCATAAGTAGTTGTGCATTTGTTTTATTCTGTATTTTAATTTAAGTCAGTGTTAAAAGCTGATGCCTGAGATGTTACTCTGATAATCAGTTTAAATCTACTCTGGCAAAACTTTTCCTCTGTTTCCCTTGTCCTAAGGTTCTCCTGCCTTGGTTTGAGGACTTGGGGGGCAGAGCCTTTGCTTTAGAAGGGCCATGTGCTGTTCACAGTCCTTCCATCAGCTTCCTCACCTGGAGAGACATGGAAAAACCAGCTCTGGGCAGTGGCAGCAGCAGGAGCCATCTCAGGGGGTAAAGTGATTATGCCAAGGTTGGAGCAGTTAATGTCCCTCTGCCTGAAAGCTCTGGAGTGAATTAATTTAGTGTCACACATGTATAAAACATCAGTTTTTACAGTTGTGCTGAGTGTGGATGCATAATTCCATTATCATCTTTTCACACAGGGTCACATATCTGAATTTCTGGTTTAATGTCCTGGTTAAACACTGCCATGATCATTGTTACCCCTTTTAGTGGGGTTTGTTCCCCAAAATGCACTATCTAGGATGGCAGGGAATCAGAGAGACCTGTGTTCTGCAGCATCCCAAATGGAAAAGGAACAAGGGTCACCCTGACTTTGCTTTTAGCCTTTTCCAGGTGGGCTCTGGGGGCTCTGTTCCCTTCCCAGGGCTGGTGGGGATGAAGCAGCGTTTACTCCCAATTCCTGCACAGAAAATGAAAATATGCAGTGGTAGCACAAACTCCTCATTCCCTCTTTATTTAGGATCACAGAATCCCAGAATGGTTTGGGTTGGGACTGACCTTAAAGCTCATCCCATTCCTTCCACTTCCCCAGCTTGCTCCAAGCCTGGTCCAGCCTTAGGGACTCCTGAGCAGTTAAAGAGCTCATGAGGAATGTTTTCCAGGGCAGATGTTTCCACATAAAGGTTTATAATCCCATCTAGAGAAAAACAGGGTCAAGATTCCTGGTTCTGGCTCTGCAAGGACTGGAGCAGGGCTGGGTCTGGCACATCCTCACTCCAGAGCCAGGCAGGGAAAGGTGCCCAGGCCCCAGCACGGCTCTGAGCCGTGTGCTCTGCATGCTTTTTCTGCTGAAATGGCACTAGATGGAGCAGTTGACAAAATATTGCATTTCTGCAGCCTTCTTGCAGGGCTGGAGGCCCAGGCAGAGGAGCTGCCCCCAGGGATGCTCTGAGGATCTTCTCAGCCCAGCCCAGGAAGGACAAAGTCCCAAACTGTGAGCAGGGGGTGCTGCAAGGAGGACACACCCGGGTACAGTGACAGGTTTTTTTGGATAGGAAATCATGGCCCATCTCATTCCTGCTGGTAACTGCCTTCCATCCTGGCAAAAACAGGGCAGCTTGGCCCTTCCACACCGAGCTGTGGGGACAGAGCAGGGCCAGCTTGGCCCCACAGCCCCCAGAGCAGAGGAGCAGTCAGTGCACTGCTCCTGCAGAAAGAAATCTGCTTTTGCTGCCGAGACTTTTGTTTCTTCTAAGAACATTAAATTCTGCTGAGAGCTGCTGCACTGACACTGCCCACGCTGCTGATGGGCAGGTTCTGGCTGATAATCATCTCAAGAGAAGATGTTTTTCTGTGGATGGATCCTGGAGTGGTTTGGGCTGGAAGGGACCTTAAAAGATCCTCCAGTTCCATCCCCCTGCCATGGGCAGGGACACTTTCTACTGTCCCAGGTTGTTCCAGCCTGGCCTGGGACACTTCCAGGGATGCAGGGGCAGCCACAGCTGTGCCAGGGCCTGCCCACCTCACAGAGAATTTATCCCTCATCTCTGATCTATCCCGACCCTCTGGCAGTGAAGCCATTCCCTGTGTCCTGTCCCTTGTCCCCAGTCCCTCTCCAGCTCTCCTGGAGCCCCTTTAGGCACTGCAAGGAGCTCTGAGGTCTCCCCAAAGCCTTCTCTTCTCCATGCCCAGCTCTCTCACCCTGTCAAGTGGTTTTTTCTGACCACTGAGGTGCTTCAGATGAGACCCTCAGAGTCCCCTCTCCTCTCCGTGCAGCAAAAGAAAGGGACACACTGGAAATGCCCATAAGGAGAGTGGAAAAATCGTGTTCAGCCCAGCTCCTCCTCATCCTTTCCCCTCATGGCTGATGGGCTGCTGAGCCTGTGAAGATCATTAGATTAATTCTTTTCCTTGCTGTGACTTAATTGTCTCCATTTGTCCTGTGCAGTGCTCGCACTGGGGGTGTGTTTCTCCTTGCCTATATTTAGTTTGATCTCTACAGTGACAATGGAATGTATAAATTAAGGCTGGCTCTGGCTCTTTGTGGCACTGAGATCCCACAGATGATTTTTTTTTGTGCAGCCTGGTACTTTGACAGCAGGAATTTTGGGCACTGGGAGATGCCAGGGGCAGCATCAACCCATCCTCAATCCCTCGGGGTCCACAGGAGCAGAGGAGCTGCTCCAGGGGATCATCCTGGGGGAGCTGCTCCTCCCTGGGGAGATGGTTTGAAGGGCAAAGAGGGATGAAAATCAACATCCTGGGGATGCAGTTAACCAACAAAAAAATCAGAAAATCAACAGCCTGAGCTGCAGGGATGGGAACAGGAGGGAAAGGGGTATTGGAGAGGGCAGGGGAAGGCAAAAAACTCTGTGGTACCTCCCTGCAGAGCTGCAGAACAGCCAAAATGAAGTTCCCTGTCCCCAAATCGAGGGGGAGGCAGGCACTTCCCAAAGCCACCCCCATGATGAGCAGAAAATCTCCCACATTTATTCTGCTGAAATTGGAACTTCCACCTTCCTCAGGGAAGCAGCAGGAAAATTCCTGTCTGCAAATGTGGATCCAGAGCTGTCAGGTGAAAAATACTCAGTGAAAACTGTCCAAAAATTGTGTTATGGTTCTTTTTGTTTGCAGTTGGGCCTGGCAGAGATGCCTGTGCTGGGTTTTGTACACAAATCTGAGGAATTCCTGCAAAAAATATCCCACCTTGTCATATCTGTGCAGGGACCCCCCTGGGGATGTGGGGGGTGCCACTGATCTGAAGAAAAACCTCAAAAATTGCTGGTTTGGTGCTGTGCAGCTGTGGGAATCACCCAGAAAAGCCACAGCCATGGGGACAGGAACACACACAGGGAAAGAAAGGTTTAATATATTTTATTTGTACATAAAGGAGGCATTTTGGGTTATAGATAAAAAAAAAAATAAAGGCGGATAGAAGTTTGAGACAGTGAATGCTCTGGACTGAAAATGTGAAGAAAGGAAAGAAAATTGAGCAGATGGCAGATTTCCATGGAAAACAGAGGTCAGGGCTGTTCTCCCCTCCCTGCAAGGATGGGGGCACAAGGCAGCTCAGAGAAATTTTTTCACTATGTGAACTGACTGAACAACAACCAGAGTGGTCCAGAATTTACTTCTGCTTACAAAAAAAAAGAAAAAAAAAAAAAAAAAAGAAAAAAAAAAAAAAAGAGTAATTAACTAATCAGGGAGATCTGGGTTTGCTGCACCAAAGCCAAGGGAGAGCACCCAGTGGGTCCTGATGCAGCAGAACAAGGATAGGATGGCTCGGCTTTACAGGAGTTTGGGAATATTAAAATCGAGCAGAGGAAAAGCAAGGAGCAAACGCAGCTCCAAAAGGCATCTGCCAGCAAAGCCACTCCACGGAGCTCTTGGACAACATTACCACACCCTGGGATGGGAATCTGCTGGGATCTTCCAGTGCTTGGAATGCCCTGCCCCACCCCACCATGATTCAGAGCCTGTCAATGGGCTGCACTTCCCCGTCAGCTCAAACTTAATTAGGGAAAAATAACAGCCATATGGTAATTCCAGATCCAGGCAAAACAATGTCTGCGTGTTTGGGTCTGGCATACTCAAATATTTTCCTAGAGCATTAATTTTTAATTCTTATATCAGACCCGCAGAAGCAAACATAAATAGGATTTTATGCTTTCCATAATCCATCCAGCTTGTGTTTGTTGTTACATACACTGAGTAATCGCTGCCTGCCACTACTTACAGAAGAGCTGATAATAAATATTAGGACACAAACTTACGAGTTAAATGAGATACAATTAAGTAGTCGATTAAAAGGACACCCATAACCTCAGGTTACAAAAGACTAAGTAGTGCTGCTCTAATGTGCTTTTCTCACTCGTTTTCGGGTGCTCACCTGTCAAATCCCCCCCGGGAGGAGCGGACAGGAGAGTTTGGAGCTGTGAATGAGGAGGATGAGGCACAGGGAGCTTTACTGGTGGTGCAGGGAGGTTCCTGCCCTGTCACCCCGCTGTCAGGGAGGAGTGTTGGTCACACCGGGAGGGACGGGCTGAGCTCGATGTGGGCTCGCAGGAGCGCGGCGACATCCCCGTGGGCCAAGGACAGCGCCGAGTTGCCTCCCTGCAGGACAGAGAGGTGAGAATGAATCCCTGCTCCGTCCCCAAACCTTCCATTCCTCCCTGCCTTACACCGAGTCCCCGTCCCAAACTCCCCTCTGGGCCTCGGCCACCCCAAACTCAGCCCAGCTGTGCCCCTGCCCGGCCCCGGTGCCCTCCTGCACGGCTCAGATAAAATTGTAGTTTAATTAGAAAACGCAGTCCTGTGGCCCAGCAGGAGGAATTCCCACCCATCTCCATCCTACACATCCCCATGGAGAGGAGGAGTTAATTGCTGCTACATCCTTGGAGCTGAAGCTCTGCTGATGCCACCTGGCCAGGATTTCAGGATTTCAGGATTTCATCTGGGTATTTTTCGGGTTACAGCAATGCTGCTGCCCAGCCTACAGCTGTCACAGCCACCCACCCATGGCACAGCAGCACCAAAACCAGGGGCACCCTCCTAAAAGCAAAGCCCTGATGAGAAAAGGGACTGAAATGTCACCTGTTCCCTGCCCTGCGGAGCCTCACCTTGTCGGTCAGCGTGAGCAGGCAGCCGGGCTGGGCCAGGAGCAGCCGGGCGATGTCGGCGTTGTCCCGGCGACAGGCGAGCATCAGCGCCGTGCTGCCCTCCTCGTCCTGCACGTTGACATCGGCGCGGCACGACAGCAGCGCCCGCACCATGTCCGGCCGGTCGTGCCTCACCCCCAACATCAGCGCGGTCTGCCCGCCCTGAGGGACAGGGACAGGGACAGGGACAGGGACAGGGATAGGGACGGGGATAGGGACAGGGACAGGGACAGGGACAGGGACAGGGATAGGGACAGGGATAGGGACAGGGACGGGGACAGGGACGGGGACGGGGACAGGGACAGGGACAGGGACAGGGACGGGGACAGGGACAGGGACAGGGACGGGGACGGGGACAGGGACAGGGGACAGGGACAGGGACAGGGACAGGGACGGGACAGGGACAGGGACAGGGACAGGGACGGGGACGGGGACAGGGACAGGGACAGGGACAGGGACAGGGACAGGCTGAGCACCCCCTGCACACCCCTGCCACAGCCCTGCGCACTCAGACTGTCGGGGAGGTGGTAATAATAATAATTATTATAATGATAATTTTAAATTTAATCCTTATTATTATTATTATTATTATTATTATTATTATTATTATTATTATTATTATTATTATTATTATTAATAATAATAATAATCTAATATATTATATAATATCTAATATATGATATAGTATCTAATATCTAATATCTAATATCTAATATATAATATATAATATATAATATATAATTATTATATAATTATATAATTTAATATATATAATTATATATTAAATATAATTATATATCATAATTATATATACTTATAATTATTATTAATAATAATTATTATTATTATTGTTAACATTTATTATTATTAAAAATAATCGTCTATCATATTTTAATAATATAATACTAGTATAATATATAAAATTATTATTAATATATAATATTGCATATATAATAATATATATTATATCATAGTATAGCATAGTATTTATAATAGTATATTATAATATATTATAGCTATTCTATAATATATAGTAATTATAAAATATTTATTATAGTTATTAATTTAATAAATTATGCTTATAATTAATTTAGGTAATTATTATCATTAAAATGATAATATTTTTAAATAATTTCTAATAATTCAAATAATTTAAATAATTATCAATTAGTTAATTTAATTAATTATTAATTATAATATACTTAAATTATAGTATAATTATATTATTAACTGATATTAAATTTGTAAAATTGTGTATATATAAGTATAATTATTAATACAAAATAATTATCATTATTATAATTAATATAATGAGAATTATAATGATAATAATAATAATAAATAATTGTTGTTGTTGTTGTTTCATGTACAGAATAATTGAATAATTTAGATTGGCAAAGCTCTCCTAAGATCACCAAGTCCAACCATTAACCCAGCACTGCCAAGCCACCCCTGATCCACATCCCATAACCACATATCACACATCACATGCTGCAAATGCTAATAAATCACATTAATATTGCATCCCACTGCAGGTTATTATCAAATCACACTGGGGCTCCTCAGAGGTGTTGTGAGAGACGCCCGTTCACTTGTGGAAGGTCCTTGCAGCAGCGTGGCCAAACTGCCCAGCTGTGGCTTCCCCCAATCCTCCTGGGCAGTTTATTCAGATCTGGACTGACTTTTACAGGAGTTGGGAGCAGAGCTGGGTGAGGGCTCTCTCATCCCTAAACAAAATTTGTGACTGATGAATCTCACCAGCAAACCTGGAGCTCCCACGCCCTGGGGTTCACCCCTCACTGCTCCTCCCCTACACCAGTTCTGATTTTTGCCTCAGAAAAACTCGTTTGCAAAATTTTCAGCCTTTTTTTTTAGTTTCTCCATTTGCCCCAGGGAGCTGCTGGGTGGCCAGGCTGCAACTCAGGTGAGGTTTTTTTGGGAACGTTTGGGAAGCAGCAACTCCCACCCCGCTCCTGCTGCCCATCCTCAGCCTGGCACTGCCATGGAAGGTAAAGGAACCCAAATGACTGCCCCAGTGTTTCCTGCCACACACCTGGGCAGCTCTGAGGTTGACATCCCCCTCCCTCAGCAGCCTCATCACCACCTCCATGTCCTGCCGGGTTTCGGGGGCCGCCAGCGGCGTCAGCATCACGGCCGTGTAGCCAGCACGGTTCTGCAGGTCCAGGCAGCTCACGCCTGCAGGGGATGGATCCAGATCACCCAGAGGGAACAGAAAGGAAAGAGGGAGTCAAACAACGTGTGGCGTCTTCTATTCCCAGAAAAAGGAGTTATTCCATCATGGTTTATCTGTTTTGAATATCCAGGCTGGTGAGCGCAGCACTAAACGGCCCCTGGTGCTACAGTTAATTACAACTGTTGAGGTCAACTCAATTAACTTTGAAGACCACAACAAGTAGAAATTAAAGGGGGATAATTAATGCCTCAAGCACATGCTGGTTGGAGCTGTGGGCTGTTTGCTTTGGCTCCCGTGGCAAGGGAGCAGCAGAGAGACGCCCATCACCCAACGGGCTTGGAAAACATCCTGGCCCCGTTTCACTCATTTTTCACTTCAAAAGAGCCCAATTCCAGCTCCTCCACGAGGAATGAGCTGTGTCTGAGGGTGAGGGCTGGAGTCCAGCCTTGCCCTGAGGAACCAGCTGCCTCAAACCCTTCCCTCCCTGCGCCTCCGCAGCAACAATCGGGTTATAGATGTCTATGATAATCTGCCATTTCCCAAACATTTCATGGATTGTCCAGCCCATGAAAAAAGGCCAAAGTGCCTCTATTCTCTCAGAGCACGAGCACATTTTTGCCCTGTAACAAACTCAGCTGAGATTTTTGTTCTTTCATTGCAACACAAGCTGAAAGTTCAATAGTTTAACATGGGAGTTTTTCTGCGGTGCTGGGGGGGGGGGGGTTTTATGCTCCCAGGGGTCTGATCCTCCTGCCCCAAGCCATGATGTGCCTTTGGCTGCTGCAAGAAGCTGGGGAGCCACCCCATCCCACCTGGACTGGGGCCATGAGGGACATCCCTTTGGGGATGGGTCAGGGCTGCTGTATCCAAAGTCAGGCTGCAAAGCCCTCCAGATGTGTGAGGGCATTAATGAGCCTTCATGTCCCTGAGGAGCCTCAGCTGGACCCCCAACTACATCCATGGGCCCAGAGCTGAGCTATGGGGGAGGATGCTGGTCTTGAGGTCAGCCAGGTCTCCTGGATGGACTTCAGCCTTATCCTTGTACTTTGGATGGAGCTTGGCCCCTGTTTTTCCACTGGATGGACCTTGCCTCCATGTTTGCCTCCTGGATGGCTGCAGGTAGGTGGCTGTTGGTCCTCAGCCCCACCTCTGTCCCACCTCCTTTAGCTCCTGACTGGGAGGACCCTGGACCTCCTTCAGTGTTTGTGACATCTGGGACTGTCCATGTCCCCTGCTCCCTGTGCAGCCATCCCTCGTGGGACCACGACCCCTTGGCAGGAGCCATTGCCACCCCTTTGCCCCACAGGAGCCCTGGCTGAGCAGAGTGGCCGTTCCTACCCGTGTCCAGCAGGAGCTTTGCAACCTGGAAGTTGGAGTGGGAGACGCTGTAGTGGAGAGCTGTGTTGCCATTCCTGTCGGGCAGGTTCACCACGGCCTCCAGGAGCTGGGGCTGGATGTCCCTCAGCGCCTCCAGGTACTCTGCCACCACCTCTGGCCTGGAAGACTTGTGGCTGGACACCTGGAACCACTCGTGGGAGATGGAGGCGAGGACGTGCTGCTGCAAACACCGAGGTGTCACCGTCAGCGTCCCTGGTCGCTGTCAGGGCCTCCTGCCTGGACATCTCACTGCTCTCAGCAGCCCCCAGGCTGATTCCACTGCTCCCTGTGCCTCTTTCTCCTCCTCTAACTTGGAAAAGCACCTGAAGCCTCAGCCAGGCAGCAGCCTCCACTTGTAGCTGTGCAATGCTGCTCTAAAGGGATTTGGGAGGTTATTTGAAGCACAGGCCAAACCCCCACCTTGGGGTTGTGATGCACAACCCTCAGTGTCCAGCACAACGCTGACCATCAGTGTCCCTGCCCCAGCTCCTGGCCCCGTGTGCTCTGGCACTTGGCTTTGGGTTTGTGACTGCTGCTACAACTTGAGGGGGAAAGGAATTTCCTGTGGTAACTTGGATGAGTAACCAGACAAAGCCTTCATCTTTCTTCCCCCCGCCCCTTCCTTTCTTTTTGGCTGCTGTAAAACTGACTCAGATGTCACCTCACCCCCCTCTCCTCACAAAGCTGTCCAGAGCACAGCCTGAAATGTGCCACAGGGATAATCTCATCCATTAAAGCGAACAGAGAGCATGAACCGTGTCTGAAACGGGACTGGGGAATATCTGTACCAGATGCTTGTTGCTTCTGCTCCTGATTTCTGGGAGGTGTTCACTGAGGAGCTGGCAGGCAGCAAGGAAATCTTCGGAGGGTTTGCATCTAAAGGGAAAAGATTTTGTAAATCCACCATGGGACAGGACCTGCAGGAGGTATCAAACCAAGTAGGAGAACACAGGCAGATTAGGTTGGAATATGTTCAACACATTTAAGTGTCTAAATTACTGGACACAAGTTGTCCCATTGACTTGACACAGATTTTAGGTACAAAGCTAAGCACTTAAGCAGAGGTTTAAGCCCAGAGTCACAAATTTGTGCGGTCAACTTCATCTATTATAAAAATCCTTAAGTTTGGGGGGAAAAAAATCCTATTTCTGAACCTGCAAAGAACTTCACCAAAAAACTTTCCATGAGAGGGGAGAAATGAGCTAACTCACCAGACATGACTCAGTGTCGAGTGTAGGGCCTGAATCAATCCCCATTAGATTCTGTAGTAACTCACCAAATATTTAGCTCTTTAAAGCCTTTTCCCTTGCCTGCAGAGGTCACCACTGCTGGTCCACCAGAAGAAGCCCCAAGCCAGCCCTGCAGAGCCGTGTCCTGCGGCCACCGTGGCACGGTCACCACCCGGCGTCCCGGTTACCTGTGAGCCTGGTGCTGAGAGCGGGGTGCTGCTCCTGCTGATGCCTCCTGCTCCTCATCATCATCATCATCATCATCCTCACACTTCTCCCCCGAGGAATCTCCTCTGCTTTCCCTTCCAGGCTGCTCGGGCTCCACGTCCCCCCCGGCTCTGCCCTCGGTCTCGGTGTCGCTGTCCTCACAGCTGGTGTCTTCCTCGCTTGACGTTGTCTCGTAGCTATTTGAGGACACCACAGGTTACTCCCTCCTTCCCCAGCCGCAGCCACGGGGCCTGACCAAGGCTCATGGACCCCACTGGCCCTTGGGTGAAGCCCAGAGTGGCAAGCAGCAAGTTAAAAGGTCTGAGCCACAGCTGAAGTCGGGGTTAGTCTTTGTTGGGCTCCTTAAGCAGCAGGAGTGTGACAGAAGCTGTTAATGAGCAGCAGGCAAGGTTACTTCAGGGTTTGCAGGGATGTCCATCACACACAGCCCGGGCAGGGGCTGGGAGCTGCTGGCACGGTGGCAGGGTGACAGCAGCACGGCCCCCGTGGCAAGGAGGGACTGGTGGCATCGGCAGCCTCGAGGAGCACGAGACAAAAGCTGTGTTTGCACAGCTTTTGTGGAGTCTTTTGGGCTGAAGTCTTTTGGGCTGAATCCACCATTCCAGCAGCCCTGACAGAGATCTCTCCTCTGGTTGTCTAAAAGCATTAATATCAATAATGTCTTCTACAAAACAGAACGTTCGCTCTGACGGACCCCAGAACTCTCCTCAATGAACCAAGACTCCTCCAGTCCCAAGTTGCACCCACTTGGCAGAGCCCAGCAACTGGGAATTCAGAGGAGCAGGGGGTGAGCAGAAAGCAGCACCCAGGCTGGCACACACTGTCTGCCAGCCCAGGGATGGTGACATGTGTCCTGCACTCTTCATGCCACCTCAGCACGAGGTGCTGCCTCTGCTCAGCTCACAGGCCAAGGAGTGCTGGATATGGGACACACCTGGAATGGGGAGCACAACCTAAAGTCTCCTTCGCCCCAAGGGAATTCCTTCTTTACCAAAAGTCTTTTCCCAGGCCCTGAACCAAGTGCTGTTGGCTTTGCTGGAGCATGGGGGCAGGTTAGTGGCAGCGTGCCTACCCAGGCAGTGCTGGCCTCCTCCAAAACCCACAAAGGTCAGTGGGAATCTTCCCATGGAACCTTCCCATGGAATCTTCCCACCTTCCCCAGCTGGGTTTTGGAGGGAGCCCCAGGAGAAGGGTGTGCAGAGAGTGTCAGTCCCCAGCATGTCCCTGCTGCTCTGAGCACTCCACCACCCTTCCTCAGCAGGGTTACTCACAGGTTATCAGTGCTGGATTAAAGAAGGGAGAACAGAGGCTCTATTTCAACTGGCCTTTTAATCAGGAGGGGAAGAGAGGGGGAGAAAGAATGACTTCTCCAGCGATACTGAGGACATTCCACATTAAAAGGCAGTTTTTATCTTCTGAATGGATGCTTACCCACCATTTACCCCAACAAACTGGAGATTCTTTTTGGTCCCATTGCCTCCTGCATGGAAACCATAACCTTTCTTTTTCATGATGGATTTAAGACTTGTGGTTGGAGAGTTTTCTACCAAAATACAAAATAATAGATTAATTAAGCAGATGTGCCATAATTAGCAATAATTATTCCCAACCTCTAGCAACAAGCCACAAATCATAATTGCAAGCGTCTTACTTCATCTTATGAGAGTCTTTTGAGGTCTTGCAAAACTGCAGATGCAGCTGACCACAATCTGAACCTGCCCTGCCACCTTTAATACAGGTCTCAAACATCTCCAGGTGACTGGGAAGATAAAGGAAGTGACTGGGAATTATGTATTTGTCCTATGGATATAAGTAGATTTTACTCTCATAATACTGTTTTGGTTTTGGGGGTTTTTCCCCCAGTAGTAATGCATTGGAAAATTCCTATATAAATCTGCTATAATACTACATGGATGAGTTTTTCCATTGAATTTTGGATGTTGTTTATATATTAAGGAATAAGTCACTTATCTATTTGCAAGTCCCTTCCCTCCCTCCCCCAGAGAACAGGCATTGGATTCGCATCTTCATATAAGCCTAAAATTATTTTAGATTAAGGTCTGTGAGTGGAGACAGATCTTTTCCCAGCCTGGTTGCTCAGTTAGTTTGATTGGTTTGGGTTCTGGAGAACTCCACACTGATTTACCCCAGATGAGAACCAGCCTCATATTTTTGCAAACTGAGATGTCCAATCTGAATAAAAAGAATGTTTATTTGATGGAACAGCCACCAGTGTGGCAGCTTTTGGAAGCTGATTCTGCATATAAATGAGCCACTGCTTTATGAGCTCCTACATCATTTTGTTTGCTTTTCACCATGTCAGATCCATAACTTGTGACGTGCACGGATTTGCCTTTCTCATCACGCTTTGTCGAGACTATTCCTGATCTGACTGACAACAACTGTTCCACCACATCCCCCCTGCTCCACGCTGGAATAAATGGGAAAAGATTTGGCCCGGACACATCGATGCCTGTGCCAATATTATTTACCCAACTGTTGATAGTGCGTGTTGGAATTCTCCTTATCCACGGGCCCTTGCGAGGAGTAGGCAGAGAGCAGGGAGTTTAGGGAATTAACTAACTGGTTCTGGATGGAGCTGAGCTTGGAGGCCGGCTGCTTGATAGCACTGGCCAGCTCGGGGTACCCGTGCTCCAAGCACAGCCACTGCTCCTGCAGGAGCTCCTGGATCTTTTTTACATATTGGCCAATGGGGTCAACAGCCGGGAGGTCCTCGTGGCCAGGGGCACCTTCCTCCTGCAGCCCTTCCCGAGGTTTATCTTCTCCAAAGCCTGCCTTGCTTTCGGCTGCGCTGGGGCCAAGGGAGTCCTGGTGGTTGTGGTTGTCGTCGCCGGGGTGCTCGTGGATCTGCAGCGGGGTGAAGCACGGGGCAGGGAGCCCATCCTCCAGGCTGGCCTCGCCAGAACGTCCCTCTGCTCCAGCACCTGCCCGGCCCTGCTCTCTGCACACCTCCACGGCCCGTGCATTGGTGTTCTCTGCCCTGTGGGTGCTGCAGCCGATGGATCTGGTGGAAAGTGGGATATTGACGTTGATGCCTTTGTCCTGGAGCTGGGAGAGCTCGGTGTTCACCGCAGCATCGAGGTGCCTCCGCAGCTCAGCCCCTTTGGACTTCTCCTGCCGCAGCTGCTCTTCCAGCTGAGCTTTGGAGCTGGCCAGCAGCAAAATGCTTTTCTCCTTCTCCTGGATCTCATGATCCTGCTGCTCCAGCACTGCCCTGACCAGCTTGAGCTCCTCTTTCTTCTTGGCCAGCTGCTCCTCCAGGTCAGCGATCTGCTGCTTCAGCGCCGTGACCCCATTGGGCTCTCCATGGCCAGGGTCCTGGGGAACACCGCTCTCCTTGTCCCCTCCAGCCTGGACACTGCTCTGCTCACCTTCCCTCAGCACATCCACATCCACCTCGCTCACCCTCAGCCCATTTTCCGCAGGGTTCACTCTCTCCTCTGCCAGCCGGAGGGCGGCCGGTGCCTCTGCTTCACCCCCGGCCACATCGGAGCCATGAGCGGCGGCATCGCCCTCCTCAGCGCCGCTCTCCATCACCGCCTGCAGCTGCTGGCTCTGCCTGAGGGGCGGCAGGGCCCCGCCGGAGCCATCCCGCTCCGAGCCCCCGTCCCGCGGCGGGGCCGAGGCGCCGCTGTCCGAGCCGGGCCGGGAGGAGCTGTGGGAGCCGTGGTGGGGCTGCGGAGGGCTGCGGAGGGGCGAGGGTCCCACCGGGGGGCTGTGGCCGGGGGGCAGCGCCTCGGGCATGCTGGAGGCCCGCAGCAGCTGCGGCCGGCCCAGCTCCGCCTGCCGCCGCGTCTCCAGCAGCAGCGCCCGCCGCCGGTAGCTCGGCCCCGGCTCCGGCTCCGGCTCCTCGGGCGGCAGCGGGACCCGCGGCGGATCCTCCCCCAGGGATGATGCCTTTCGCTGCGGGAAGGAGCAGGTGGAGGTCCAGCTCTTGCTGGGAGCGGCGGCGGAGCAGCCGGAGCGGGAGCCGCTCTCGGGCAGGCTGAAGTTGCGGGGCAGGGTGCTGAATTTGGGCTGCTTGGCTCGGCGGTGGATGTGGACCCGCCTGATGGTGTTGCCCTTCTCGATGTCGTCCACGTACTTCAAGAAGTCCAGGTCCAAGTGGAAGCCGTAGGGTGTCTCCAGGGAGTAGGGCAGGCTGCGGGGATGCTCCCTGTCCCCATCGGGTTGGGGTGGCTGGCCATCTGCTGAAACAACCCCCCAGAAAAATAATAAACTATTGAATTTTGGGGAAAAAAAAAAATCAGAGCAGCGGGGAGATGTTTTTTTCTCTTTTCATCTCAGATTTGGGCAGGCAGGGGCTGCAGCTCATTATCGTGGAGGCTCGTGGTGAAGCTGTGCAGAGACACAGTGACACGCACCAAGCTCTGATCTGGTTTTCCAGAGGTGCATCAGGTAATTATTGCAATGAGGAAGCCAAAAGTTTCCTGAAATCATGGCTCTAATTGGCAATTAAGCAAACAGCAGGTTTTGCAGGCAGAGCTACATGTCTGTGTAGGTACAGAGAGCTGCCTGGTGGATAATAAATCTAGCTCAATAATAGAATGTGGGATCAACTATGACAATGACATTTTTCAAGGCTTTTGGATTGGTTCAAACTTTTCAGTGGCATAAGCAGTGCACAGCGAGCAGGAAAATCATTGCCTCGTTTCACTTGCAAACCACCAGGTCACAAATTATTCCTTGAAAATGACGGATCTGGGCAGAGGCTGCTGCTCAGAGCTGCAGCCATGCAGAACACGCATCCCAAGGTGACCGGCTCAGCTCCCAGCACAGCTCCTAATTGAGGCAAATCACCACTAAATGGGCGTCACTGCGTTTGCCCACCCAGCCAGCACAGGCAAACAACAGCTCTCAGCCAGAGTCTCCCACTTTAACACAGCCATCTCCAGCCTGCAAACATTCACAGCCCCCAAATTTCCCACCTGGAGGGTTAACAATTACATTTCTGCACTTTCCTGTATGCAGCAAGTCCCTGAAATCACAGTGGTTTGGGATCTGAGCACACAAGCTGGGCTCAGTGAGGAGGAGGCACCAGGACCTGTGGCTGATCCCTTTGTCTCCACCCTGGTGCAGCAGCTGGAGAGGACCAGGACAATTTGGAACAGATTTTGGTGCTGCTCACCCCAGAGCATCACTGAGCTGGGAAGCAGCACGTGGAAGTCAGAGGAAGGACAGAGGGAAGACACCACTGGGGTCATCCCAGGGCACAGGAGCACAGCTGGAGGGTAGGAGCAGGGATCTGTCACAGAGCATGGGAGGACAAATATGTGCTGATCTAGAGCTGGGACCTGCTTTGCTGTGGGTTTTTAAGAAATCTGCATCATAACGAATGATGCATTTTTCACCTCTTGGCCCCACATCTACAGAACAGGTTGTTTACAGCATTTCTGATAAGGAAATTACTCCAGGGTTTGGTTGGGTTTTTTTTAAAAGGAATAAATGAAGGAAAAAAACACCCTGTAGGCTCCATACCTTCTGTCTTCTCCATGGTGGGGTCTAACTGGGCTGTCACTTAAGCATCTTCTGACAAGGGCTGAGGAGTCGCTTCACCCTTGAAAAAAGAAATGGATACTTCTAATTTAATAAAATAACAGGCTCAGCCATGTGAACTTCATCTCTCCTTAAAGCCTTACAAGCCTTCAAAGGCCACCCCCCTCCCACTTCCCATCTTCTGCAGCCCAGTGGTGTCCAAGGGCTTTGAAGCTGCTAAAATCAATAGCTCCTCTTCCAGAGACAACAACTTGTGACCCATCCCAGGGAGCTGGTCCTTGTAAAACATCCCCTGCAGTACAGAGGGTCTGGCTGCCAGCGAGGACAGACAGACATTTGGGATGGCACAGGGACTCTCCACTGACTCCTGTGAGCTGGAGATACCCAACACGATAAAAGCTCCCTAAACTACACACAGAAATGACTGGTTTGCAGTTTATTTTTTTAAATCTATAACAAGCAAAGATTAAAAATTAATGCTGAATCTCATTCAAATAACAGCCATTACTTCAGAGCACGTCCCTGCTGTTAAAAAGAACCTTCACCAAATCGCACTGAACCACAGACAAATTGCTTCCAGCTCAGGGAACAACTTCAGGTGGAGATCTACCACAGCCAACACTGAGATCTTCACATCATTTCTGGGCTGTGTTACCCTCCAGCTCCTTCCCATCACGTGGACATGGATGAGACCCTCCTGGAGCATGAGAAATTAAGGCTGGGAACAACCAAGAAAGATGCTGGGTGAAACTTCTCACCTCCAGAGCCTTTAGAAAGGCACAGGGAGGAGGCAGGGAAGGGTGAAGGAGGCTGGGGCAGTTGGACATCACAGCAGGAGGCTCCCTGGCTTGTGTCAGAAGGACAACAATGCTCCAAGTGAGAAGGTCTGGTTTTAATTTCTGCTGCAGAGGATGACGTGGGAGTTTCCTGAACAGTAGGTTGTTTGCTTATGATTCTCCTTACAGTATCTAGTTTGGTTCCTGGCCAGAGATGGCCCCACAGCTGCTTGGAAGTCCATCCCTGCTCCTCCAGTGCATCCCTGAGCTAGCCAACATTCCCAGGGCAGGACCCAGCCTGTGCTGAGCCAGCCCCAGCTCACACCCATCTCATGGACCGAAACACCAGAGGCTGAACTCATGTTCTGCATGCAGAGCTTTGCCTCAGCGAGGGCTGGAGCACTTGACCAGAGTTCCAGAGCTCCCCACGAAGGGGCTCCAGCTGACCTTTACCAAAGACCAGCTAAAAAATGAAGTCAAATCCTGCTGTATTGTTACCACAGGACATTGCCACATCCCTGCAAGTGTCCAAGGCCAGCTTGGACAGGGCTCTGAGCAACCTGGAATGGTGGAAGGTGGCATTTCATGGAATGAGATGATCTTCAAGGTTCCTTCCAACCCAAGCCATTCTATGATTCTATAACAAATACTTGGAAAGATCAAAACCTTTTAAAGAAACAATCAGTTGTCAATCACATGGACATGTTTATGGCCAATGTAGAGCCTCGATGGGAAGTCAGGAAGGTCTCAGCCCAAGGAGAACATCAAAGCTCTCCAAAGCTCCAGCAGGGCCACAGAGGGTCACGCTGATGCCCACCCAGCACCTTGTGAGCTCCTGGAAAGCTCCTGAAGTGCTGTCCAATTAACCACACTCCTTTTACAAAGGACAACTCCTTCTGTCTCCTCCTGCCACTGAACAGCACGTGCCAAAACAAACACCAACCTCTTTCTCAAATGTTGTTTCTTCCCCTTAATTTTCCAGCTGCAGCCAATTCCAGCCTGACCAGCTACACTCCACTCTTCTAGGTCATTTATTCAGAAGGGAGGGGGGAAAGCCAGTGCATAGGATGGTTTTTAACATCAGAATAATCACATTTGGATCATTTATGAGCTGGCCAGGTCCCAACTCTGCAGCCCAAATTGATACTACGACTACTCTCCTTTGACCAATCTACTTCAAAATCGCCTTGTAAAAGGATGCTGAATGTTCCCAACCAGCTTGCTGATGTTCTCCTGTCCCCTCCGGGGCAGCTCAGGCATGGAAAAGATGGCTTAGAGCCAAAAATGTGCCTCTTTGGACCCCACAGCTGCTCTCCCATGCCTGTCCCTAAGAAAAATGAGATTAAAATATGAAGTCATCTGCCAGAAGTAGCAGACCCCTACACCAGGGTCCAGCCCATAATTTGAGGCAGGGTAACAGTTTTAGGTGCATCTCCATCCTGCTAAAACCTGTTAGCCTGACCCTCTGCCAGGTTCTACCTTTGCTGAGTTTTCTCTGTTAAATAAAATTGAAGAACATTTCTTTTTCTCCCCATGCATCGCTGATTCTTACCTTTGCTACACAGAGAGGCCATGGGGAGGATTAATCCAGATTGGAATTAGGCTGTTTATCTCAAGGCAGGAATAAATACATACAGAAATGGAAACGGAGAAGCCAAATATGTGAGAACGCAGCAGCACAGAGCGAAGTGGTTTTATTCCCAGGGGCAGCCCCTTTGCAGGGACAATGTACTGTCTTTTTAACCAGCCTGGACTCAAGCACTGGCTCTTTACACTCACATTTAACCCCTCTTTCACTCCATCCCACTTGCCAGGCAATGTGAGCAGCTCCCCCATTCACCCCAGCCAGCAGAAAGGAGAGCACCATGACTCCCCAAAACATTTAAATAACCCATTAACTCGACCACATGCCACAAATACACACAAAATCAATTCTCCCAGCGTGTCTTGCTAGTGATTTTAACTGGGAAACAGTTAACCCTGAGCCTATACACAACAAGATAATCCAGCAGCACGTTAGCACAGTCTTGTTAGCTGTAACACAACATGATATGAGCTCTGCCTGTCTGTTCTCCTGCACTGCAGCAGCAGCTCCAGCACTTCGTGGTGAAAGGAAAAACTGGTTAGCAAAGCATTTTGTCAGGTTACCTGCTCAGGCTGGCACCTACAAACCCCCAGGGGAGCAGCAGCTCTTGCCTCCCTCCAAAGCATCTTCTCCCACGGCAGCGAAGGGCTCGGAGCAGCGAACGCGGCGTGGCTGGACCCCAGCCTGTTCCAGCAGTTACAAAGTTGGTCAGCTGAGCTGTGACCTTGCTCACAAAGCAAATACAAGTTTAAACCAAGAAGCACAAAAGAGGGATTGATTTTCCAACAGAGCAGCCCACGGCTCTCGGATGACCTTTGCGAGGACAGCTCAGTCCCGGTGCGTAAAACGAGTTACTTTTCCACGGAATTGCTATTTGTCCCGGAAAACACAGAGCACCAAGCGCTGCCTGGGCTGTGGAGGGGGGTGCCCCCTTATCAGGGCTGATAATTGAAGAGAGAGTCAATAATTAACGGCGCTGCTGCCGTACCTGATGCTGCAGCTGCAGCCCTCTGCATGCTGCACCTCCGGGCTGGAGCATTAGCAATTCCAGCAGCGCCTCTCCCGAGGAAACGCTGCCGCCCCTCGCAGGCAGCAGAAGGGCTCAGTGTCCCCAAATTCCCACGTGTGCAGCAGGCACAGCCCCTTGTCCCCCTCGCTGTGTCCATCCATCCGCAGCCCCGGGAGATGCCGGATGGGATGGGCGGCACGGGCAGAGCGGTCCTGGAGTGGCACTCTCCGTCTCCAACTCGCCAGCCCTTGGCTCTGGGGTTATCCATCCCAGCTGCCAGCTGGCAGCAGGCAAGCCAGGGGTTAGCTGGCACAGCAGACAAGTGGAACAGGCTGCCCGGAGGAGCTGTGGCTGCCCCTGGATTCCTGGAAGTGGCCAAGGCCAGCATGGATGGGGCTTGGATCACCCTGGGATAGTGGAAGGTGTCCCTGCCCATGGCAAGGGGTGGAACGAGATTTAAGGGCTTTAAGGTCCCTCCCAAGCCAAACCAGTCTGGGATGCTGTGATTTTGGGCAGGGTACTCGTGGCACGTGGCTCAGTGATGGGCAGAGTGCCCATCCCAAGCCTGTCCTGAGCTCCTGCATTGGCATTCCCCTCGGGCACCCTGGACTGCTGCCCCTCCAGGCTGGCAGCAGGGACAAATCCCTCAGTCTCCACACTGAACTTGCAACAGCCTCATGCTTGCAAAGGCCGAGGGCTTCAGGGCTGCAAAACTCTTCCAGGGCTGGGAAAGAAAATCCTGAGAAGTGGAGACATCCCCTGGGACCTCAGGGCTCTGCTGGGGGCTCTCACCAGGGACCCCCATCACAGAGCAGTGCCAGCACCTTTCCCATGGCTGAACGAGCAGCACAGCCCCAATCTCATGCTAGGGAGGAAAACCACATCCCTCTCTGTGTGAGAGCAGAGCTGCTGGCGCTGCTCCAGCTCCCTGCAGCCCCCACACGGGACTTTAACACATTAACTTTGAAGAAAAGCAGACAAGTTTTGCCTTAGCAGGAAGCACAGAGAACCAGCAGTGTTTGTCCTTCTGCCAGCCCTCCCCGAGGCACAGATGGGTTAAACTTGCTACCCGAGGGATGAAAAATCATCTCAGCAGCCGGGGAAATGCCGCCTTTCCCACGCGGGGCCGCGACTCCGTGTCCGTGGCTCTTTTCTTCCACAAGCAATTCCTGAGCCTGAGCTCCAACACCAACTCCAGGGCACGCTGCCTCGTTTTCTGCCGAATTCCTCTGCTTTAGTTACGCTCCTGTGTCTTTTCCGAGCACATTCTGCCGCTTGTGTTCTCCAGGCAGAGCAGCATGACGGGAAAAATATCTATACGGTGCTGGTTTTAAAGTGGTTCTGAAAGAATTGTTTGGTTTTCCCACTGGACAGACCTAGCAGGAAGCTTTAATTTGGACATTTCCTCATTGGAATTACCCACATACGACTTACAGCTGTTCCCACATTCAATCCCTCTGGAACTGAAGAAGTCTGTGACCCCTTAAATAAGCTTTTAATCGGGAGCTACGAAGGGAAGGAGTCAAAACACGCAAATTAATTAATTATGGGCTGCTGCTTGATGGATTTACATCCAGCCTCTGATAGCTTTGCCCATGGGGATTGCTGCAGGGTGGGAAGTGGGGAAGGGGTTCACCAAGATTGTCCCCCAGGCATGAGAACGGAGGTCATGGCCTGAAACTGCTGCTGCTCCACATCAGGCACCGCAGCTGCCGGCGGTGTTTTGCTCTGCCGGCTGCTCCCACGGATGAGAGGAACCAGACAGCTCTGAAGTGGCTCAAGAGCCATCCCATCCACCCCTCCTGGCCACCACTGTGCCTCCCTGGATGCTGGCAGGGCTGCTGCCTCCCCCTCCCCACAAAGAACCCTGTGGGATGGAAGGTTTGGGCTTCACCCCCTCTCTTCTCCTCCACAAGTCCATTCAGGTTGGGAGGGACAACTGAGATCATCCAGGGGCACCTCCCTGCTCCAGCAGGGTCATCCCAGAGCACCCTGCTCAGGAGTGTGTCCAGATGGGTCTGGAATATCCCCAGTCAGGGAGACTCCACAGCCTCTCTGGACAATCTGCCCAGGGAAGAAGTTCTGCCTCACGTTCAAGTGGAAATTCCTGGGCATCAGTTTCTGCCCATTCCTCCTGTCCCATTGCTGGGCACCACTGAACAGAGCCTGGTCCATCCTTGTCCATCTGACACCTCCCTTTGGATACTTATGCCCATGGATGGGGTCCCTTCTCAGTCATCTCTTCTTGAGACTGACCAGGCCCAACTCTGGGCACGGAGATGCTCCAGGCCCTTCCTCATCTCCACAGCCTCCACTCCAGGAGCTCCATGTCCCTCTTGTCCTGGAGCCCAGAGCTGGACACAGCACTCCAGATGTGCCTCACAGGGCTGAGCAGAGAGGCAGGATCACCACAGGGTGACCCACAGACAGAGCTGGCACCCAAAGGGTTACACCCAAACCTGCTCCATCCAGGCGGTCTGGATTGCACAACAACCCCGCTGCAAATGGACATACCAGGAATAAAAACGGCCTCTCGGGGAATATTTGTTGTAGGGATTTTTCAATTCTGTTTTCACTGCAAAGGAAGAAAAATAAGCCACTTCCAGTCTGCTGGGGACATGCACACGGGTGGGATCTCCGCTGTGATCCGCTGCCCGCTGGCACGGCCACGGGAAGGAGTTTCCTCCAGGAGAAAAAAAAAAAAGAGGTTTGAAACCTTTGAAACCTAGTTAAATACAAGCAGTTTAAAGTCCTGGTTTGCACTGCAAGGTTTCCCAAATTTTCCCCAAGTGAGAGCAAACTGGGCTGCTGCTGGGTGAGATCCGAATCCCGGGAGTCCACCAGCCAACTCCCCATCTGTGTCTGGCATCACAAAACCACCACTGCCAGTGGTCCTGTGCCCCACAGCATCCCTTGGAATGGCAGCTGAACAGACCTAGAACTACAGTGGGCCTGAGCCACTGCTACAAACCCAACAGCACCCAGGAGGAAAAGTTTCCAAGCTGGATCCACCCCACACATGCTGGGCAGGATTCCCTCCGTGCTGCTATCACCCACGGCACGTGCTGAGGCAGAGCAGGACTGGATTTAGATGCAAAACCCGTTACTTATGGGAACTTATGTTACCTCTTACTTCATCCTGGGGCCAGTGGATGGTTTCAGCACAGGGCTGATGACTACAGGACCTTAGCGCACCCCGAGAGGAAAATCCCTCGGCTGCTGCCTGCCCAGAGCATCTCCAGAGCAGAGCTGGGAGCTGGAAGCAATTTGGGAGTGCTGGAGAGGGACGAGCTCTCTCTGCAACCCATCAGCTCGTGGCTGATGATGGAGAGGTCCAGGCTGGCCTCCCACCCCCTCTGCACAAAAAGCAGCGGAGGAGGAGCGGATGGGGCTGGAGCTGGGGGCTGTGCACATGGAAAACATCCTGGAGGCGTGTGGGGCCTCCCCGGGGTTTGAAGGAGAGGGTTCACAAGGAAGCTGAATAATGAACCCAGCACCACTCAATAAAGGAGAGGAGCTCTTTCAGCAACCCCCGGGTGTGCAACCCTTGGTGCTTAAAGAGCCATTTCAGGCCCTTTCCCTTCCCTTCCCTTCCCTTCCCAGTGTCTGTAATAAAGCTGTGCGGATTCTGATTTTATTAAAGCTGCTCGTTGCTGTCTAATAAATGTTATGAGCTTCCTGCCAGCATTTCCATTAGAGACGGGTCAGACCTGGAGGTATCAGATATCCAAACTCTCTTCCTCCTTTCTGGCTTAGCAGGAGGGGAAAACGATCACATTCACCCCCTCCTCTGATAACCTCTTTTCTGACTGACCTTCAGCTCATTCCAGCCACAGACTCACAAAAGCCTTGGTCAATTCTTGTGATTTTATCCCGTGCCTTGAAAACTGTGGTGTTTTCCCCAAAGTCTTCTTTCCCAGAGCCAGGTGAGCACAAAAAAAAAAAAAAAGCACCCAAAGCCCTGAAACAAAAGTGCTCCACAGTCAGAAGGCAGACAAAAATCTGAGGTGCCTCATTTCTAATGTTTACTCGCTTTGCCTCAATCCCACAAGTTTTGAGGGAAAACAATGAAACCCTGCTATGGCTTCTGGTCTCTTCCAAGCTGCTGGTTTCTACCTCCTTGACCTTGGGACAAGTCAAGCTTTGCTGTCACTGAAACAGAATAATTCCCACGTGGTCAAAGTGGGAAATTTTAGGTGCTTTTAGGAAAACCCTATTGTCTGCATTTCTCTCCTCCTCCCTGGGCAACCACGGCAATCCCCCATGGAGACACGGAGCCACTGCACATCAATTTCTGACCCGAGCCAACAAGACTTGGGTCGATCACACTCCTGACAAGTTTAAAAACCTCTTCACACAGGAATATTTCTTTTTCAGGCCACCTGAAACCACCCTGCTCGTTGACTGGGACTGCAGAGAGGGAGGATGTGCTGCTTTCCTCTCTGCTGGTGATTTCTGTGTGGATAAGGGGAGCTGGGAGCCCTGAGCAGCATTTCCCACCTCTTGCCCATTTAGGAAATGGGGATTTTCCTCCAGGTTTTTGACCAAGCCTCAACCATTTATTGCTGGTGTAGTTTTCAGCTTTCTCACTTACACCACATTCAACCCTGATGGGCAGAGGAACCAGCTGCAGAGATGAATTTAAGATATTTTCACTTTGCAGATGGAGACCTCTGTGTCTGGGAAGGTTTTTCACCATATTTCACATTTCTGACTCCATCAAATTGTCCATTTGAGCAGCATATTTTCTTAATAATGACAGCACCTTCATTTTCAAGTGCTGTTTAAACCCTGGGATCGGTTCTTCCTGAAACAAGATTTCCACTGAGATTTAAAACAAACAGGGTTGGAGCAAAATCTGCATCCCACTGCTCTGGAGCCAGGCAGAGTCACATAACCCCTGTCAAGTGGGGCAACAAATGGAAAATACAATAACTTTCCATATTGACTTTTTTTTTGCCTCATCAATGGGGCCACGCTCATCCCTGTGGCTGTTCCCAAAGCTTCCTTAAAAAGACCCAAGATTTGATGAGCTGGGCTGCAACACACAGTGACAAAAATGTGACTTTTAAAATATTTGGCAGCTGTAAAACCACCAAGGGA